GAAGACTCGGTGGGCAGAGCTCCGGGTGGCCCACGATGACCCTCCCTGGTGGCACCCAGATTTCTTAGTGTGCTCAGCATCATTGTTCAAGGTGCCACAGGGGCCAAGTGGCAGAGCAAAGCTTCGAACCCAGCATGTCTGGCTCCAGGGCCCAGGCTCTAGCATCGTGGGGTGTCACCTCTCTTGGTGTTGGGGTGATGGGCACAATCCCTCGAGTCAACAAAACCTCCACCACTTCCCATTTTTGTGACAACAGACAAGTGACAAACTCTGCAATTTTGCAAAATGAAGCGGTAAAAGTGGTGCTACCTCAAACCTGGTAGGGCTGTGGCGAGGTTTAAATGAGTGAGTTTATACACAGGGAGTACTGAAAACAGTGTCTGCCTCGTTGTAAGCCAATAGCAAGGCTATCATCATCCAAGAAGCAACCCAAGAAAGTAAAAAGACATATATTATCCGTGTCATGACAGGGGGGAAGCCGGCTGAGGGGGAGCAGAGAAGGCTCCCAGCTGCCCCCATCTTTGGGTTGGAGGGAAGGTCTATTGGGAGGATGCACGGGGGCTGTAGGCATCCACAGGTGGAGAGAAATAAAGCCTTGTCTCAGAGGAGGGTGTGCTGCTTGCCTGGCCAAGTGTGGTTAAGGGGCTCCGCCTCTGCCCCGCAGGCCCCCAGCTCCAGTGCAAGGCCCTGGGTAGGCCGTGGCTTGATCGGACACAAATTTAGGAAGTTAGCCCTGCCTCCAGGATGCTGAATGCACTGGTGGGCAGATGAGCGAGATGGAGACAGAGAGACGTGAGGAGGGTCTGTAGTTTGCAGTGGCGATGGGGGAGAACAGGGAAGTGTGGTCTGAGATGTGCTGGGGAGATCAAGCCTGGAGGGTCTGACCTAGCCACATCCCCAGCAGGGGACCGTGCAGAAGAGGAGTAGGTCAAGGTTACTAACTTGGGAAATGTCCACGGCTGGAAGTCAAGAGGAGAGGTGCCATCAGGGGATCAGCGATGCGCCAAGACTTCCAGGGCAGATAGGGGTTTCTAATACTGGACAGAGTTGAAAAAAGGAATGGGAACAAAAATAAAGATACCAAACGGAGGCCCAGATCCTGTTCAGAGACAATACAGCTAGGATATGGGTGAAGATACAGACACTTGGGGTGAGAACGAATTTGAGGGCCATCTGAGCATCCTGACCTTCCCAGCACAGGATTGGAGGGACCCTTGCAAGTGGGAGAGGGTTCCGGAGAGTTGGGAGAAATCTGGGAATGGTCTGGGGACCCCTGAGAAGAAAGAGGAGGGAGGCAAAAGGAGGGAGATGGAGAAACGGGTAAAGGTCACTTTGGGTCCAGACACAACAAAGGACACCACCCCCTCCCTCGAGGCCAGGAGGATAGAAATGCAGAAGATAAGCCTCCTCCCCAGGGACTTGGGAGGGGAATTTCTGAAAGCTGGACCGCTTTTCTTCCCTTTATCAGAAACCTCTTCATGAATCCTCGCACACCATTTCAGATGTGGTCCAAATAAATTACAGGGCTTTTTAAAGTGCCGATGCCCATGCTGTCAAATCACCACTTCCACCTGCATTAATTGCTTTGATGGGTCTGCAAACAGCCTCCCCCCTCCCTCCTTGTCAGGGCCCCTGGGAAGCCCATCAGGGAAGGATGCTGGGAACAAGGCTGGGGATGCAGCGGATCCAGGACAGGGCTGTCACACACTGACCTCTGGGCCATGCATCTGCCCTGCCTCCCACATTTTTAAGGGCGGTCGGGACACACAATTCCATCCCGTCACTGGGCTTGACGGCTGCTGTGAAATGAAAATGCGGAGACTAAAACCCAGATAGGAGACATTTTTAAAGAAACTCTGTCTACATGGGAATATTAACTACATTTAGTAAGTGACTCTGCAATTCAAACCGCTCCCAGTCCCAGTATTTTTTCCCTCCAATAGCACTATTTCTTTTTTCAACTAAGCCGACACAACAGAAGAGTTTCAAAGCCGAGCGAATGCAGTCGATAACATTTTTCATTACAATGCCTGCAGCGGGACCTCTGTGGCCACAGTTTTTCAGCGTTGGATGTGCAATGGCGACAAGGACCGTTTGTGAGGACCACAAGGCAGGCTCGAGGATGGAGAGTCTGAGTCACAGAGAGGCAAAGGGAGCTGCCCAAGGTCACAGCCAAGTACACTCCCGGATGAACCCAGGTCCATCTCCAAAAGCCATCTCTAACCTCTTGGGTGCAGACCTCCCTTCCCTTGATCTTCCAATATGTCAGCATTGGAAGAAACGCCTGCTCCAGAAACAGCTAAGGGTGAGGACAGGGTGGGTCAGCGTCTCTGGTCAAGGCAAAGTGGATACATGGGGGAGGGGGAGCGAGTGATGCTAAGGGAAGGCAGTGCCTCCCAGGCCTCGGTGTGGTTAAGACTTGCCTGGGGTCTTGTTACCTTTCAGTTAAGCTGCCCTGGTGAACCACTACTTCCAAGGCCCCAAGACCCAGGCCTTTGATGTCACCTCACTATGTTCCTCCCCTGTAGCCCACAGCTTCACAACTAGAGACTTGTCTATGGAGGCCGAAACATTTGCTTTGCATTCAAAGTGGGGAGGATGCTGATATTAGGAAAACTCAGGTGGAGAGGCAACATAGCTACAAAACTGGCTCCCAGCCGAAGCAAAGCCACAGCCAATTCAGCAGACGGAACACACATTCTCAAAGGGGGAAGGAAGTAAGGGGGGCTGGGGCTGGAAAAGAAGGGGGGAAAAAAGCCCATTTATGCATTCTCGGTAGAGAATAAAGCAGCTTTTAAACACACGAGTGCTTAGCAGGGCCTTGGCCTTCCCCTGAAACGCTGTGGTTTCTTGAAACCTGAACAGTGTTGTTGTTGCATTTAAAAACAAAAAGCCAGAAGATATACCTCACCCAAAACTGGCTCATTGATTGCTTCAGAATGCATAAATGATTCTATTTTGGAATCACAGGCACAGTCAGGCTCATAAACAACGCACTTCTGGAAATGTGGTTTTGATATTAAGAGCAAAGTGACACATGAAATAACCAAAAGGACCCCAACGGGAGGAGTTGGGCTGCAGAGGGTGAAACAAGCTGTTGCACACCAGGACACAGACCACATTTTTTTTAAAGGCCTTTCTCTAAAACACAGCTGATCCTTGAACAACGCGGGGGTTAGGGACAGCAATGCCCGTGCAGTAACTTAGGTTGGCCCTCTGCATACTCGGATTCCCAGCCACCGGTTGATCCTAGAACAATTCGAGTTTGAACTGTGTGGGTCAATTGGGGGGTAAAAAAATCCATGTATAAGTGAACCTGCTCCGTTCAAACCAGTTTGTTCAAGGGTCAACTGTACAGCAGAGGGCTACCTAGTTACCGAAGTTTTTACACCTATTATGTCATTTGATCACAGCCATCCCGGGAAGGAGGCAGCTGGGAGGCGGCTATGCCCATTTCACAGCTCCAGAGACTGAGTTCAGAGATTCGTGTGAGGTGCCCACAGCCACACAGCCAGCTTCGTGGTAAAGCATCTACTAGATCCTATGTCTTCCTCGATTTTCCTACCCAGCACCTGCTATGCTGCACCATACGGACTTCCTTCAGATGGCACACTCAGGGACCACGGCACCCTGAACTCACCAGCCCTGCATTGGGAGCAAGGTCACGCCATTCATTCGGCCAATATTTATTTAGTTATTAGAGCACCGACTATGTGCCAGGCGCTGCAGAGGTACTCGGTGTGTCACTGAGCAATGCAGACCGGATTCTGTTCTTGGAGCTTACTCGTGGCGGGGAAGGCAGATGATAAACAGAGAGAACCGAAGCGTCCTAGACAAGGGCACTGAAGGAAACTGAAGCAGGATAGGGGGTGGGGGTGGGGGGGTAGTGAGGGATGCTGCTTTGAAGAGGGAGGCAGGGCTGTGGAGGTATGCAGGTATCATAACACTTACAACACTAGATGACCTGTGGCCATGAGTAGGTCCATGAGCCCCCCACTTCACCTCACCTCACCTCACCTCACTCCCCCCCACCCCACCCCACCCCCCGCATGGCTCCCTGAGGACAGGGGCCTGTACCGTCCATCTCTGACTTCCAGTCTCAGGCCTGGCTGTGCTAAGTGCTGCCCAGAGCTGAATGGACAAAGGGTTCCGCACGTCGATGAGCTGTGCTAACACATGTCACCGTTCCCTTGATGCGGGGGCATCAGACTCCCCACTTAGTAAAACGAAGCCTTTGGGTGGTTCTTAAAAGGCCCTGGTATGCCAGGCACTAGCAGTGATGCCGCCTGCTTCCTGCAGGGGGGGTGGTCATTGTCTCCAGGATGCTGGCTACAGAGCCCTGGGGCTGGTGCCCTCAGGAGATGAGGCAGAAGGGCCACCTACTTCCTAACCCCAGCGGGAAACCTCCTTGAGCACGACCTCCTCGACCTCCTCACCTCCCCGCCTCTTCTGGGAGGGAGAAAGCAGCTGGCACATAGTAGACACGCACTAACGTCAGCCTCCCCCCTGCCCAGGAGAGTTGCAGTAAAGCAAAGTTTGAAAACCAGTGCACTGGCCTCAAGGTGCCACATCCTGCAGCTGGCACCAGGGGTGCGCGGGAAACAAATGGAGCGTCTGGCTCCTGCTCCTTGCACCCTTTCCACCTGCTGTGCTATACACGTAAAACGGGACTGTCCGAGGCACAGGAATCTAAATGCAGCCCCAACCCTGCAGGGCACTTAGAAGTCTGTGAGGGCTCCGGGTTAATATCAGCTTCTTGCTTGGGGGCGTTAATAAAAGGGTCAGTTTGAAATATTTGCATTTCAGTCTCCAGCTACCTCCAGCCATTAAAGGCTATTGCTTCTCATCGGAGTGTCTGGTCCCTGCCGGGCACCAGTCTGGGAGTCCCTGAGCAGCGGACTCCCAGGTCATCAAAGAGCCTTACAGGAAAGCCAGCTGGAGTGTCATCCCCTGTGGACGCCTGCTTCAGTGCAAAGCCCTCTGCGTGCCAGAGGGGGGACTGTGACTCGGAGGAGATGCGCATGTGCTGTGAGCACGAACAAACAGGCGTGTGAAGGGATGCATGCACTTAACAGGTGCGTACAGGCTGTGTGCTGTGTGGCTGAAGGCAGGCGGAGGTGGGAAGCAACAATACACAAAACCCAATTGGTCGGGGGTTAAAGGATCACACTTAGCTTTGCAGCTCCATCCACATGACGATGCCACGGCAGGTAATAAACAACGCGGGGTTTGTGGGAAGAAGGGGTGGGGGTGGTGACGGAAAAACCAGAAGCTGGCGCCGGAGTGATTCTCTCTTTCATGCCCATCTTAACGTCAGGAGGCAGGGATCTTCTACTATAAAAATATCAATCCTTCATAAATAAAGGCATTCTCCCGCACCCTGCAAAAACGCTCCTTTGACTTGAACAGTAAAGAACCAATTAAAAGGATTTTTGTACGACACAGGCACCAGCATTTTCTAAAACCTTGAGGATCAGAGCTTGAGCCAAACAGACAAGACTAAATTAATGGACCCTCTCCATGTACCGTGTCACCCTCTGGATCCAGCACCCAGCATCTCTTCAAGAAAGGGTTTTATTAATAGGGAGCTTTCAACCTGTCACTGCTGGCAGGACCCACAGGACCCAAGACAGAGTGGGGAGCCGGAGGAAAGTCCTCGCATACCCATGAGCCTGTCAGCCCGGCTTCCCAGTTGGAATGCAGGAATGACACCAGGGGAGAAGCGCGTTTCAGACACAAAGTTGGAAGTGGCTAATAATGTCTAATAGCTTCAGCTGGCCGTGTGCAATGGGGAAATGACAAGTGTGTCATTTAGAACATGCTGGGCCACACACACAATGACATATAAATACAGACAGATTCTTCCCGGGTTACTGTGCAAAAGAAGGGAGGGTGTGATGATAACTCTAATTAAGCGCAAGGGCCGGCCACTGTTTTGAACTTCTGGAATGTTTCAAATTCTAATGTGCTCCTTGGATGCTCCCGGGGGGACGCAGAGACTGTAATGAAGCCGTTTAATTTTTATGCAGATGAAACCCACACAGATGTACACCCTTCCCAGCAGCACCTGGGTTCCCTCCCTCCCCCCTTTCCGCTCCCTGCTACCTGCAGAATCAAGGACTCAGAGAGCAAGTGGGTAAGTGAATCTGATGTCGAGTGCTTCCAGGGCGGAGCGCTAATCCTGCTGCATGCATAATCCTATTATCATTTTCCCCTTTAATCTGGAATGGCATCAGGGCTGGTGCTCTTGGGTCAGGGACCGCAGTCAAGTTCTCCTCAGTACAGCATGTAACCCATCAATTTCCTGATATAGGAGGAGGCTACACAGTGCCAAGATTCTCATCTTCCAATCCTTCGCCAACTCTCTTTACTCTGCCTTAAACGAAAGCAATCCCAAAAGAACAAGAAAAACATCGCAACGGACATTCTAAATGCCTTGTGTGCAGCACTTCTGGAGCAAATCACCGACTGTCTGAGCTGGCGGGGACCTTGGGCGGCCTCTGGCCCACCCAACCCCAGGACACAGAGCGGGCCGGTGACTGGCCCAAGGTCACACAGCAAGTGTGCCGCAGAGTCCGATGCATCATCCCTGGTCCGGGGACTCCTTGGCCAATTTGTCAAGCGTTTTTGGCTGAAGACCTTTGAAAGGTCTTCTTTTTTATTGTTATTAGCTTGGCTCCTGTTCATTCGAGATAGATTTTTCAAAATCCAAACGTTTCAACATAATTGCAAATAGTAACTGGCTTGCCTTATCTATACCTGTCACTGCTGATGTAGCAAACAGGCTTCAAGAGACGGATGGGAGCCCCACCGGACACGGGATGACAATGGGGGCCTGACTTGTCAGAGAGAGAAGTGGAAAACACTGCGAATGTTCAGTCTCCTCTGCTCACAGGGAGGAGGTGAGCCTCTCTGACTCATAAACTCTTAAGTAACCTGATTCCTAAAATTCAATTTCCTTTTTATTACACATACACGATTCATCGCTGCTTTGGGAAGCTCAGAGGATCTTTCCCCGCCTCTTTCTACCAGCAGAAGAAAAACAAAGATTTTAAGATGGAAAACACATCTCCTTAATCGATAAAACATGGGAACAACCTGTCTACGGACAGATGAATGGAGAAAGTGACTGTGATATATATATATGGAATATTATTCAGCCATAAAAAGGAAGGCCATTCCGTCATTGGTGACAACATGGATGAACTTGGAGGGCATTAGGCTAAGTTAAATAAGCCAGAGAGAGAAAGACAAATACTGTGTGACCTCACGTATATGTGGAATCTAAAAAAGTCAAACTCATGGAAGTAGAGATGGGGGCCAGGGGGTGGGGGAAATGGGGAGATGTTGGACAAAGGTACAAACTTTCAGTTATAAGATGAATAAGTTCTAATGCACAGACTCATGCCAATAGTTAACAATTCTATTATTGTATACTTGGAAACCTGCTAAGAGAGTACATCCTAAGTGTTCTTAGCACAAAAATAAAATAACTATGTAAGGTGATGGATATGTAAATTAGCTTGATTATGGTAATCACTTTACAATGTGTAGGTATATCAAATCATCACATTGTACACCTTAAATGTGTACAGTTTTTATTTTTCTGTTATACCCAATAAAGCTGAAGGAAAAGCGAAATAAACAAACAAGCAGTCAGCCCTCGGTGTCCTCAGATACGAAATTCAAAGAAAACAGATTCATAGAAAGGTTACCAGAGGGGAAAGGGTGGAGAGTGGATGAAAAAAGTGAGGGGGACTATAGTCAATAATATTGTAATAAGTTTGCTAGATGATTACTAGAATTGGTGGGGTGATCACATTGTAAGGTATAAAACTGTCGAATCACTATATTGTACACCTGAAACTAGTATAACTAATGTAATATTGCATACCAGCTATACTTAAATAAAAATATTTCTTTAAAGATCCACTAAGGGACTTGAGCATCCTCAGATTTCGATATCTACGGGAGGTCCTAGAACCAATCCCTCATGGACACAGAAGGACGACTATAAGTAAATAAAATAAAATTGAAGAAAAAAAGAAAACACATCATATGCTAAATGTGATGTGGTGTCTTGGAGCATAAAAAAGATATAAGCAGAAAACCCAGTGACATTTGAGTGAAGTCTGAAGTTGGGTGAGTAGGAATGTGCCTTCACCACAATCTCTGACCTGGTGCCCTCCTGCGCAGCAGCTGACACAGGGGCTGGGAGTGGAAGTCCTGGTTAAGGGCAGTCTGTACCTCGTAGGGAAGCCAGGCCTCTTTGGGCTTCCCGTAAGGGGGCTGAATACCCTTCATGTTGTGGAAATGTGTCAACAGCTCCAAGTGTTCTTCTAAACGGTCCCTGAAACTGCCTGCCCATCCTGCAGGTAGAGCCGCTCCGGGAGGCCCCGAGACAGGTTCCGCCTCCTCTGGTTTAAATTCCACCCAAGGAAAGTCTGTCCCCCTTTCTCCCTGGAGTTAAGGTGACACAAAGCAGCACCCGTTTTGCCTGTTGCTTCTGGAGGGTCCAAGTGGGTACATTCCAGGCAGGTGATGAGTCTGCACTGGCAGGAAGGGGGGCACCCCTGAGACAGGAGCTCATTCTGCCTTAGCGGGCGCCTCCCGGGAAAAGTGACAGGGACGGAGCTCCCACAGGCTCCCACCCAAGGACAGTTCTGCTCCGACCAACCTCTCCCTCTGGCGACAATTAGTTCTGGGGCTTCAGAAACTATGTGGACAGTTTAGGTTTCACTCTGGAAGCAAGAAGAGTAGATACACGAGCTAAGGCCTGCTGCTGCTGTGAGTCCAAGGAGCACCTTGGTGTACAGCTCAGGGAGGCTCAGACAGAAGGTGCAGAGCGTAATCGGTGAAATGCAGGAGGGCCGGGCTGAAACTCTCAGCCAAGCAGCTCAGCCTTACAGGCATGGCCGAGCCTGGGGAAGAATTAAAGGGAGAGTCTGTGTCTGTAATGTCCAGGTTACCTGAGGCCTACCCGAAGTCTATCACCTCCGGATGATTAAGTTACTCGGGTCTTTCTTTAATTGCCACTAAAACTGAATCCACTCTTATAAATGCCCATCTGGGCCAAGTATCTTTCAAGTATCGATTTATCATCTGGGAACTCCAGATCGTTTAGGGCCAAAGGCTAATGGGTTATTTCTTTATAAATAGATGGAATGTCAGCTAAAGGGAAAAGATGAATGTGGGGGGAGGCGACCGAGAGGAGGATAGGTGCGTGGAAATCCACAAGGAGCTTTGTCTCCTGCACCCACACACCCCAAAACACAAACTGATCAGCGTTTTGCCAGACGCAGCAAATAAGTTTCCAGATCCTCAGGGGCCTCCCTGAGGGGGCAGAGGGATTGGGAAGCAAATAAGGGAAGGTCAAGGTCAGCGATGAGATGGTTGTGTCCCAGGTGAATGGTCAGTCACTGAACAGCACACAAGCAACCTCCCTGAACCTCTGCTGCCGAAGCGTTTCCCAGCAGCCAGCAGGCCCTCGGCTGGAGTTCAAAACACCTGCGCTGAGGAGGATCAGGGGCAGGGGCGAGGAGCAGGGTGGTGAAAAGCTGGGTCACAGGCCCACCCTAACCCCTAGGAAGCACTGTCCTTGCAGAGGCAGAGAGTGTCACTGTTGCTTTTCTCCAAAACTCTTCACTTCTTGCACACAAAGGTGTGTGTGTGTGTGTGTGTGTGTGTGTGTGTGTGTGTGTGTGTATGACTGCAAGGCATCCTTGAATTCACACAAGACCAACACTATCCATCTCCTACTCCAACTGGTTTTCAAAAGCCCTGGGAAGGAGGTTAGCAAACACACACACATTCCTTTAAACGGCATGGTTAAATCCTTACCGGTAGGAGCTTGTGGTCCTAAGGTTATATTTCTCAATTAGCAAAAAGTACAATCACTCTCAAGAGAGCGGGGGATATGTCTTTGACATTCAGGCAGGGGCCTCATTTCCAACAAGGTTAGGGACTCTTATCTGGTCCTGATGCCCCATTTCCCACGTGGAGAGCTAGAGGCTCTGAGGGGACAAATGACTTGGCCCGGAATACACATCCTGGTCCACAAAGGGCAGGGTGAGGCCAGAGTTCTTTGGATCCCCAGAACAGCCTCCTGGGGCCACTTGGGGCTAACAACACTTTCTTTGGGGGGCAAAAGCCTACAGAATAATGAGAATACCAGCAGAAGCAGAAGACACCCACTGATTACTAACTATATGCCAGTGGAGACCATATCTTTTAATGCTCCTAAGAATCCCCAACTCTTTCCACTTTGTGATCATACATTTACCCAAATATTTGATAAGGTCTGTCTCCCACTCATAAGCCTTTATGCCTAAGGGAAGGCAGGGTCCAGATCGGCTTTGCTCATCACTATATCCCAGTGCCAGGCATGTATTTGCTCAATAAACTAGATGTTCCTGTTTTAAAGAAATATTTTTAAGAAAAATGAAGCCCAGAAAGGTCAAGCGAGTTGCCTAAGGACACACAGCAGGGAGCTACTGCCACTAAGAGTAGCTGCCCCTGAACTCATCCCCCAAACCAGAACCCTACCTTGACGGCCTCAGCGTGGGTCACCCGGGACAGGGATTTGTCGTTGACACGCAGAATCTGGTCCCCGACTTTCAGTCCTTCCTTCTCAGCCAGAGAGCCTGGCTCCACCAGCGACACGTAGATGCCCACGCCATGCTCCGAGCCCCCGCGGATGCTGAAGCCCAAGCCTTCATGGGCCTTGGCGCGCCTCAGGCT